ATTGAACTGAAGCTTCTAGAGGATGAGCTGCTCACAAGGCTGTCAGCTGCAGAGAGTAATTTCCTGGGTGACAATGTCCTGGTGGAGAAGCTGGAGACCACCAAACACACTGCTGCTGAAATTGAAATGAAGGTGCCAGTGGCAGGATTAAAATTGCCACACATGATTAGCATTTTTTGTTTAATATACCACTTCTTTTGCTCAGGTCCAGGAAGCCAAGGTCAATGAAGTCAAGATAAATGAAGCTAGAGAACACTATCGGCCTGTTGCTGTCAGAGCTTCTCTTTTGTACTTTATCATGAATGACCTGAACAAAATCAACGCCATGTACCAATTTAGCCTCAAGGTAAGTAACTACCAGACAAATATAGTACTTATTACATAACTAAATGTCACTTTTTTTGTCAGGCCTTTAATGTAGTGTTCCATAAAGCAGTGGAGACAGCAGAGAAGAGTGAAGATGTGAAGAATCGTGTGAACACTCTCATAGACTGTGTCACATACTCCACTTTTATCTACATCAGCAGAGGACTGTTTGAGAGGGACAAGCTCACCTTCACTGCCCAGCTGGCTTTCCAGGTGTCCGTTTGTGGGGTGGTTCACATTAGAAGAGAGTCTTTTGTGTTTAACTTTGTGATTTTTATTGTTAGCTGCTGCTTTTGAGTAAAGAAATAGATGTACGAGAGCTGGACTTCCTGTTACGCTTCAATATTGACCACAGTTACATCAGTCAACTAGAATTTCTCTCTAACTCAGCTTGGAGCGCTATTAAGGTTTGAAAATGAGGAGTAAAACAGAGACATTTTTAGGTAATTAATGTGTGTTAATGTGATTACTGATGTTTGGATCCAGGTCATGAGCTTTACTGATGAGTTCCGAGGTTTGGATCGAGACATCGAAGGTTCACCGAAACGCTGGAAGAAGATAGTGGAGTCTGAGTGCCCAGAAAAGGAGAAGTTTCCTCAGGAGTGGAAGGGCAAAAGTGCCCTACAGAAACTGATCATCATAAGAGCCATACGGCCGGATCGCATGACGTATGCTCTAAGGTAAAATATGTCCTATTATAAAACCCCCAATATCGAATTGCTTTTCTTTGAACTGTACCTCTTGTCTGTCTGTTGGACACTGTAGGAATTTTGTCGAAGAGAAACTTGGTGTGAAGTATACAGAGGGTCGAAAGACAGAGTTTGCAAAGTCCTTCAGAGAAAGTGGACCAGCCTCTCCTGTATTTTTCATTCTCTCTCCTGGTGTAGATCCTCTTAAGGATGTGGAGTCACTAGGTATGAAATGCACTATGAAGATATGAGATAAGAGACATTCAGAGTTACGTGTTATGCTAGAGTTTATCCTGACATAGCAAAAGAGCAAAAGTGTTTTTGTTAACAGGAAACAAACTGGGTTTTACCATTGACCTTGGAAAGCTTCACAATGTGTCGCTGGGTCAGGGCCAAGAAGCTGTTGCTGAGGTTGCCATGGAACAAGCTGCAAAAGAGGGACACTGGGTTATACTACAGGTCGGGACATTTTATTTGAATACCATTGTAGATACAATTTAATTTTAAATGGATTGCTTTTCCCCTGCAGAACATCCACCTAGTCGGGCGGTGGCTGGGCTCCCTGGAGAAACTGCTGGAGCGCTGCTGTGAGGGCAGTCATCCTGACTATCGTGTTTTTATGAGTGCAGAGCCAGCACCATTGCCCCAGGAGCACATAATCCCCCAGGTACAGTATAGATGCACACTATCTCTTATCTATACAATGCTAGTATTAGACCTACAATACAATAAATATAGCCATGAAGCTATCTTCTATATTAAAGTGTCTATTGGAGGCTTTTCTATTCAGAAATAATACAGTATGTTTTACTATTTCTTGTTTTAGGGCATTCTAGAAAATGCTATAAAGATAACCAATGAACCTCCCACAGGGATGCATGCCAACTTACATGCTGCTCTTGATAACTTTGACCAGGCAAGTGTTTTAACATGCTCCAGATATAATGGCAGATTCAATCATACATGCTGTGTTGTCTTTGAAGGATATCTTAGACCAGTGCAGCCGTGAACAGGAATTCAAGACCATCCTATTCTCCCTGTGTTACTTTCATGCCTGTGTGGCTGAGAGGAGGAAATTTGGGCCTCAGGGCTGGAACAGAAAGTACCCCTTTAATACTGGAGACTTGACAATATCAGTAAATGTCCTCTATAACTATTTAGAGGCTAATGCGCAGGTGCAAAGTGTTTCTTTTTTATACATTTTGATTTTGTTAAATGTTGTAATAGTATAGAGAATAATACAGTTATATTATATTGTCAGGTGCCCTGGGAGGACCTAAGGTATCTCTTTGGAGAGATCATGTATGGTGGACATATCACTGATGATTGGGACAGACGACTCTGCAGAACATACCTGGAAGAATACATGCAGCCCAACCAGGTTTGTCTTCATGGCGTAAGTAAACAAAATAGTAAATTAAATGCTAATTATATAATCTTTTTTCAGTTTGACAGAAAACTTTCATTAGCTCCTGGATTTGTTGTACCTTCCAATTTGGACTATCAGGTATAGTAATATCATAATATATATTTTTAAAATGCCTGTCTAGATTGCTCTCATCATTTCCCTTCACCACATCTCCAGGGCTATCATGATTTTATCGATGAAATGCTGCCCCATGAGAGCCCAGTGCATTATGGGCTGCACCCCAACGCAGAAATTGAGTTTCTGACTGTGACATCAGATGCCCTTTTCCACACTCTGCTGGAGCTGCAGTCTCCTGATGCGGTCATGGGGGAAGGGGCCTCACAGACTCTGGAGGAGAAGGTGAGTACACTTACATTGTACGACAAATATGTATTTAAAATGATGTTGACATAATACTGATCAGTTTTACATAATGCAATTTTATGTATTCTGTTAAAGAGGAATAGGAATAACAAGTAGAACTTTTTTCCTGCAGGTAAAATCAATTCTAGACGAGGTGCTGGAGAAGCTCCCAGAGGAGTACAATATGTCTGACATCACATCTAAGACGGCCGAGCGTTCCCCTTACATCCTGGTATGTTTCCAAGAGTGTGAGAGAATGAACACTTTGATCTTAGAAATCCGCCGCTCGCTAAAAGAGCTTGACCTAGGACTTAAGGTAAACATTTATCTTTGTGAATGACTGTTTTTATCTGTACAACTTTTACACTAACTCTCAATTTAAAAGGGGGAACTTGCAATTTCTTCTGAAATGGAAAAGCTTCAGACTGCCCTATTCTTTGACAATGTCCCTGATACCTGGACGAAACTGGCCTATCCCTCTATCTACAGCCTGTCAGTTTGGTGCGTGTGGTTCTGGGACAGAATAGTTGCAATAGTTGATTTTAAACTATATTTCTGTATATTAGGTACAATGATGTGCTGCAGCGGTGTAAGGAACTGGACAGCGGACTCAGGACCTGTCCTTGCCCAGTGTTGTGTGGCTCTCTGGACTTTTCAACCCGCAGTCATTCCTCACTGGTAACCACACAGCAGAGCACTCATCCTACTACACAAGTATTTCTCGCACAAACCATGAATACTTTTGTTCTTTGCTCTTGTTCTCCAGCTGTGATGCAATCTTTGGCCCGTAAGAATGAGTGGCCACTAGACAAAGTGAACCTAACTGTGGACGTGACCAAGAAATTTAAAGAAGAGTTCAACCAGCCCGCCAGGGAGGGGGCTTACATTTATGGACTCTATATGGAAGGTACTGTCCTTCACATAGCATACCTTTCTCCCACTCTTGTAAAACTATTTAAACACATTTGAATTTTGCTGTAGGAGCCAGGTGGGACACTCAGGCTGGAGTGATCACAGAAGCTCGATTAAAGGAACTGACTCCAGCTATGCCTGTAATTTCTGTTCGAGCTGTTCCCAATGACCGCCATGAGACTAGGAACATCTACGAGTGTCCTCTCTATAAAACTAAGATCAGAGGACCTACATATGTGTGGACTTTTAGTTTAAAAACCAGAGAACGGCCTGCCAAATGGGTCTTGGCTGGAGTAGCTCTACTTCTCAGTGTGTGACTGATATATACTTATTTATATATATATATATATATATATATATATATATATATATATATATATATATATATTTTTAGATAAAATAGTCCTTATCTGATCTTGTGTGACTGGCAAGGGATTGGAGCAAGGCAATTTGTAAATTTCTCTATTTATTGAAAAAAGATTAAATATTCTCAAAAATGTCAAAAACACACTCTATATTTGTAATAGATAAAGTCAAAGCCTTTTGAACTAACCAAAACTTTAAACTAAACATAAAATACTATAAAGCGGGGAATTAGCATACAGTGCTGCCTCATTAGAGACATTCAAGTGTGTGTGTTTACTAACACTTGTACCTCTTACAGTATACATTATGCAGCAGGAATTAAATTACACAGGTGAAGTAACTGACAAAAATATGACAGCCAAGTTGTCCTGTCTTTGTTCTACTTCACAGTACAGAAGGACATAGTGTTGAGCGCATCAATAAAAAAATAACAAATGAAATGTGTTTAGACCAGCTTTTTCCTACTGGAGACCATAATGCACATATGTGCTTACAGGTCGACCTGTGTGTGCATGTCCATGTGTTCTTTTATGTCTTCAGTCACTGTCAGACCAGTCAAGCTCCATCATGTCCATTGCTGCAGAAGCCATCTTTATTTTGGTTCCCTGACGCATGCTGCAACTTTTGACAGAGTTCTGGTTGGATGAAGCTCGCATGCTCACCTGGACACCCATTTCCCCTCTGATCTTTTGGCTTATGGCCTCACTGAGATCACTCCGTACACCCTGGACAACAACTCCCATATCCCTGCGCCCTCTGACACCCAGCTCAGTCCTGACCCCTCGGCCTGAGACTTTCATTACTCCCATGTCACCCATGTTCATATTCATGTCCATGTCTCCCATGTCCCCTATGTTGCCCATGTCTCCTATGTCCTCCATGTCTAAGGACAGCATGTCCCCTAAGCTCCCCCTCCCAGGCCTTTAAACACTGTAGGAAGTCTTGATACTTCTACCACTCCTTCCATCCCTCTATCCTCAAGTCTGTCCTCAAGTCTGTCCTCACCTCTGTCCGCCTCCCAGTCAGCCTCCCTCTCTCTCCCAGAGTCCCCGTCTCCATAACTCCCTGAGTATCCCTTCCACATAGTCACCCTGCTTCGCTGTAGTCCCCCTGTGTCCCTGTCCCGTTCCTCCCATGTCCTCTCCTGTCTCTCCACCACCCCTCCTGGAAAGCTCCTCAGTGTCACCTGCACCCTCCCCCCCTCCAGGCTACCCCCATCATTCTTCTGCACCCAGCTGCTGTCATTCAGAGTGCCCTCTTCTTCTTCCTCATCTCCAAATCTTCCGGACAGTCCCCGAAGCATGGCGTGCAGTCTCCCCCCGTCCAGAGAGGACATGCTCCGCTCCAGTGTGGTGTTACTGCTCCTCTCAGTGTCTCCGTTACTGAGGGTCCGGAACAGAGAACTGACACCCGCGCTGCTGACCCCCGCGCTGTTGTTAGAGTCCTGAGAGTGAGACCGGAAGAAGGAGCCAGACGAGCCAATAGACAGCGGTGGGAAGAACTGCCAGAAAGGTAAAGAAACACTCAAATACACAACTTAATTTTGTTTTGTATTGTTCTTTGACACAGTGGTACTTACAGGTGACTCCATTAGAAGAGAGCTGGGACTAGGACTCATGTTAGACCTCTGCATGAGCCTCTCCTCCCATAGTTTGAGTCTCCTTTCTCTTTCTTCTAACTCTTTTTCTTTTGAGTAAAGCTCCCTCTCAAGTTTCCGTAAGCGCTCAAGAGTAGACTCAATTTCACACCTTTTGGATATATCAAAAATATGTTTTACTTTGTAGTTATTACAATGTTTTTATTTATACATGTATTATGTAAAAATGCCACAAAAAAATTGGCACAATTCACTGAGGTGCAGATACTGGTTGCTTCCACAAGGTGTCACTGTTGTTAAGTTTCTCAGGCTTGCTGCAGCTCTTTATTGAGGAGTATTGTTTATTCCCTATCTCCTTAACTCCACCCCTTCACCTCTCTCACACTGCACAATCCTCACTACCCTGTGTCTGTCCAACTTTCCACCCTGACCAAAACCACACTCACAACTGATTGCATCACAGTGGTAAATATGCTCAAAATCTCACACCTCGACTCAGTATTGTATCTTTCACATGCACCCAGTACATTGTGTGTTGCTGCTTCCTGTGTTTACAGATGACTTTAGTTCTTGTCTGCCTCCCCTACTCCAGTGCCCACCCCCACAGCTTTTTGCACTGCACTAGAGTGGACCGGCAGAGGAATCTCTTCCGTGGACACTTTCCAAAGAGCTTAATATAGACTGAAGTAGAGCACAGGGTCATGGATTCAACTTTTCTCAGGGGCACGTTAGTGTGTCTTCTGTGCCACTGTTGCAGTTATGTATCAACAATAAATAATATTATATAGTGAAAGTGTACCTCCACTGGTCTTTGTTATGAAGGAAGGAGTTGCACTGATCCGGTAGCCTGCTGTCATTTGCCATTGTCTCCAGGGTTAGGAGTACTTGCTTAAAAAGAGGCCGCTCCTAAAGAGACACAACATGAGTGGATAGAGGTTTCAAGTTATACAGAAAAAAGGTTAGACATGCATCAGTAACCACTTACCTTTGGATCAGCTTGCCAACATTTCTTCATTAGCTCTGCAAAACTTGCTGGACAGCTGGTGGGAATAGTAAGCCTCTAGGAAAGCAAAATAAGGGTATAGTTAATGCTTAAATTGATTAAATTCTACAAAAACAACACATCAAATGTTTTATATGCAATTACAGGGCATTTTAATCAATTGGTGTACATTCTGTGCATTTCTGTATTTATAGTATAGGTGATTTCCTAAGCATAACTTTATATTTGCAGCACTGCTGAATGTGTATAGACAGAGCCATAGTAAAGGGCAGAAATGGAAACAGCTCTCTCCAGGGATTAATCCTAAAATATGAACGAGTGGAGCGAGTGCATGCATTGGGTCCAGTGTAGAGGTATAGTGGTGGAGACTGGGAAACACAAAAAAGAAACAGAGGGAGAGAGAGGGAGGCAGTTATTTAGGGAGAGTATTTGGAGATTAGCCAAGAGCTACGCAGGAATCATGTTCTGGGAGTTGTTTGTTAGCCCTACAATGTGGCTGTTAGCATGAGTGTTCAAGGGGATCCTCTCACAGACTGGATAAAAATCAACCCTATAAATCGCAGTAATCAAGCCTCCAATCACAGTGTCCATTCTTCTCTGTGTTTGTGTCTCGTAAAGGTTTTGGCCAGGGGCAGTCTGGCCCAGCTCCACTGCTGTGTATCCAGGCCTTACAAGAGCAGAGAACTGACATCAGGACTAAAAATACCCAGCGGCCCACCTCACCAGCTCACAGTGGAAATCATGAGAGCATCGCATTGTTTCTCCAGTTTGAAGGGTGCACATGTAAAAACACATTTGGAGAAGTATGTTTTGTATTTGTCCGTAGTGTGGACTGTACCTCTTGCTTTTCAACCACCAACCATGCCACCTGCAGCCCTTCAAAGCCTTTGAACGGAACCTCTCGAGTCAGCATCTCCCATAACACCTGGTGAAAAGACCGAGTGGGATGGGTCACATCAAACAGAGTACCAAGTAAGACACACAAGTATTTTAGCAAGGTTGACTAAGGCAATATAGGGATAGATTAAATGTGCCACAGCATCTCAAAATGTCACCTCCTGTAAAATGTTTAAGGTGTTTTGTGTGACTTTTCAGGTGGAGGGTTCTTCAGATGCCTTTCTCCATGGCAACATTATTGCTTTGTCTGGTTTATTTCACAGTATGGTATTAAACCTTTCTATCATCATGGATAGGAAGGTATTCCTAGGTATTTTTGATCTATAAAACTGGAACTGTGGAACATTCTAGGCAGAGCAATAACATAGCCATAGAAACAAGCAACCAAACCCCCAACCAAAAATGTACATAGTGCAGTGTCTGGTACAGCTAGCATCTGCTGGTGCTCCTTGAAGAGATGCATGTGGTGCCCTTACACTGTCAAAGTGACCTGTTTTTGTATCATAAATAACAAAGACTGTTGTAACTGGTCGTCTATGACACATTTTTTTGGCTGATGGATGAAAAGCAGTGTGTACGTACAACTCCATAAGAATACGTGTCACAGGTCTCAGATACAGGCAGACTCTGGATGACCTCAGGGGCCATCCATGGAAATGTCCCTACTACAGTCATGTGAGTGGTGTGGGATAGGAACTTGGATGCTCCAAAGTCACAAATCTGTAGGACCAGGAGGAGAGAGCTGTGTGAATGATATCTATTTGAACAGAGCATAATATTATAATTGAATGAATATGACAATTATAATAATGCATGGCTACAGACCTTGAGAACTTTGTCTACTGTCATTACCACTGAAAAAGACAAATATATTATTTAATACATAAGTTCAAGCATAATAATAAAAAAATAAAATGATGACGCTGTTGTCTGTACCATTTCGTGACTTTAGGTCTCTATGAATGACTTTCACTGGAGCTTCCGCATGGAGGTAGTGCATTCCTGCAAGGAAAATTAAGAGCGCACAAAGTTTCATTACAGTATAGTCATTTTAGTCATCTTGTGCAGATGGTCAATATATTTACACATATTAACCTCCTAATATGTTTATTTAAAATGTTTTTGTGTTTACCTTTAGCTATTTGTATGGCCCAGGCCATGATCTGCTCCATGTCCATCTGCTCACTCTGCTCACTGGACAGGTACTCATACAGAGACCCACCACTTGCAAATTCTGTGAAACATTATTCAGAGTAGTCCACATAAACACAAGTAGCACTTCCATGAAACAGGCATTCAGAAACAATGCTATCCAATCCTGAGACTGTATCTACTTTGATAGTACTTTTCTTTTAATAAGTTATTCCCACCCTGTGAAACTAAACTAATGCAGGCTGTAGCTGAACGTCACATCTTATCCATAATTCTGTCCTGAATTACAACAGCATCCAGACTTTCAAATGTCCTGCCAACAAACACAACAAGAAGTACGGTTCAAGAGGATACAGTGATATTTGGAAACATGCACCCCTCATCACAGTGCTGTGTTAATGTGTCTCATGACATCACAAGGATCAAGTGCTCCACAGTAAAACAGTACACGCGCTCAAAGAGGACAGGCTTTGGCCCTGAACATATTTATTTAAACATCATCTGAAGTTTTCTATGCCTCATCAGATAAACTTTAATTCTAAAGATAGTTTAGGATTAGTCCTGGAGACTAGCAGCAGCTCTAACCTGTGACAATGCCATAGTTGGGCGACTCCAGCACAGCTCCATAAAACTGAATGATGTTCTTGTGACTCAGGACACTGAGGATTTCAGCCTGTACAGAGAAAAACATACATGAGCATTATACAATAAATTATAAGGGATATATTATGAATATTAGACAATTGTCAATATATGTGATGGTTACTGTATTTTCTACATAGAATATGGAAGAGATCCGAACAGGGCCTCTCCACCCTGCTATAAACATTCAATAAATCTGAAATGACATGTAGGTCAAAAGCTCTGCATATGTGAAATATGTGACCGTTGCTCGGCAACCTAACGGACCTTAATTTGTTTGACATCACAGATTTTCTGACCATCATACTTCATTACACTGTTGAGCGCACTGGGCCTGTGCACGTGCAGTGTGTACAAGCACTAACTTCAGAAACTAGTACAGCATGTGTTAGAGCATCAGGCCTTAGTTTTACTGCCGTAAAATGTTGACATCAGTATTGTGTTTTGCAACACTTTACCACAGCTGTTCATTGTGTTTTAAAAACAGTTAATTTGGACAGTTATGCTTTATTTAGTATCTTTGTTTTCCTTTAATTTCTAACCATGATCTGACATTTTATGGGGAACCTCCCAATCTGAGTGCATTAAGCCTGAATGACCACACAGCTGGCCTTAATACACACTAGAAAGAACAGGCAAGTCTTACCATAAATACATGGCTCTATCTACAAAGAGGTGACTTTGAGGAGGAGGTATGTTTAAGATAAACAGATGTTAAAAGACATTAGAGAAGAGAAGTGGAATATGAAAAAAACATTCAATTTAGGAAGAAAATATTCATAATTAAAAGCAACTTAAGTCTGTTGTAACAGACTTAATGATTGGCTAAGTTTTGACCTACCTCTTTGTCAATCTTCAGGAGCTTCTTCACTGCCACCTCCTTGTTCTGGGAAATCCAAAGAGCTCTGTAAACACTTCCAAAGCTTCCCCCTCCACAGTTCTCATAGAAAGCCAGGTCCTCATGTTTTATCTGCACAAACGACGATCCAGGGGACGACATGGCATACTGACTCAAACCTCACTAACACACACACACACAGACACTAATCTACAAGGCTTTACCCCCCAGAAAGGTTAAAAATCACAGCTTGGTTAAGAGTGTTGATGTAGAAATAAAGAGCCAGTATGGTTTCCTCCTGAGCCTTTCAAATGGATGTTGTCAGTCAGCAGAGCAGTGTGCCAGGGAGGACTAACTGGAAAGTACTGGAAAGAGAGAGAGAGAAATTTTGTGACTCAGTAAGTTCAACCTCCTAGTAGACTTGAAGGTACCACATTGCCTGATAGTGGTGGTCCAGTGATACTACAACAGGGAGGATTTTCCAGAGAGAGGCTGGATGAGATGAGGAAGCGATTTGTGTTGCAAGTGTGCAGTCTCCTTGCTGCAGACGCTCTGTTCAAATATGGTCACTGGCATGCGGGGCATTCCTTCATCCTGGCTAGCTGTGTCTATATAAAGATCTCACATACACACACACACACACACAAGGCCAAAGCACTCCAGGCTGCTCCACAAGCCTACACAACGCGTCAGACATTGTAAATCACTTAGCAATGAGGGTGACTGCCGCGGAAACCTAAATCTAGCTTCAATCACTAGTGGCTGGGCTAAAAACACTAGAGAGGATCTGTTACTCAGCCTGACAAAAAGGACAGTGACATCATCAAGGGCCATAGCAGTGCTTACATCAGCTGTAGAGATATAGAGGACAGCTCACTTGTTATAGTAAGTGTAAAACTGACTACAAGGCAACAGGAGCCAACATCAATCATTCCTCATTTGTGTTGGGGAAACAAACATTGTCCCGGTGATTTTGGTATTATTAGAAGATTTAGATGGACGTGTGGCTTTGGGCTGGTGAGAGAAATTGAGTAAGAGGTGGTTTCTCTCAGATGTGCAAATGGTTTCGGCAGTCAGTTAAACCATCAACACAAACCCAACAAGTGGAAAGTACAGGGTTAGGCTTCTGTAAATGTCATTGACCATTGTCTATCAAGCAGCATTAAAGGTGCACTGTGTAACTTTTGTGGTGGAGAGTCCATCACCAGCTTGTCTTCATGGAGATGTTATTGCTTTTCCTGGTATGTTCCACAAGATGACATTAAGCATATCTATTTTATGGTAGCAGTGAAGTAACACCACCAGGCCAAGTTACAAGTAAGATCTGTGGAGATGTTATTCTGTTTACAGATATGAATGCATGTTTATCATTTAATTTAGGAGCAATAAAAACACCTGTAATTGTATTAAATGCAAGATTTAAGTTTTATGTCATACATGGAACATTCGTGGCAGAGCAAATATTTTGTCAGAGTTTCAAAGTTTTGAGTTTTTATTCATGTGATGTTTGTATAATTGACCAAATGTAAATGCATGTGTCTCTGCGTGTCAGCATTCTTCACACTGTAAAAACAAGGCAACTTTACAACTGTAAGCACATGGACAGCTGCAGTGGAGGTGTGACTATGAGGTGCTAAGTCAGAGGATTTTCAAACAACAGGCAAATCATTGTAGGCTATAGTCTGGCATGAAGTGTTACCATTCATTAGTGCCATGAAATAATGCTACAGTCTATTATTACAGTACAGAAAAAGGTCAAGTAAATATTCTGTTTTTATTTGAGTCTAGAGCCTTGTTTTCTTCAGTTGCCCACCATAACAAACCAATCACTATAAGTCACTGTTATCCAAGTTTCACGTTGGATGCTTCCCATGTAGCAGCCCTAGTTTACAATTGGACAAAACAATTATGATGAATTGTCTTGTAGTTGTAAAACTTGTTTCTCTATGCGTTTATTGGGCTATAATTTCGTTATTAAAAAGTTGTTTGCAAATAGTGTTGATAATCTTTTTGATTCAATGTATAAGTTTTCATGTATTATTGTATAATTTTGTTATACTGTCATGCTACTTGGTTACATTCACATCCTCTAAAAAAATCATTACAGCAAAATTTAACAAATGCCAGATATTCATGACAAAGAAGCAATATTACACTGTTAAATTTGTTTAACTTTTATTTACAAGGCAGACTACACAAACAGTACAGTCACAAACCACTCCAAAAGGGTGGCCATACAGCAGTTCTCAACACATACCAATAATCACAACTAAAGCCTCTGAGGTCAAAGGAAAATATTGACACTTGTCATCAACACACTCAAAATCTACACACATAAATACAGAGAAATACTGACTTCTCTCAAAGCAAATCTGATCTGCTTCGACTTGCATTGAGCTGAGGACAATATAAAGGCAAAACTTAGGTGGAAACTTTAAGTAACATCATTAGGGCTCCGACCCGCTAATACTCTAGTTGTTGGACGTGTCAAACTAACTGTAAGACACATTTACTCACCCATAGGACATTGAATCCTACATAATCTATAGATTATATATAGATTAATGAAAATATGTACTTTTATATTGTGTACTGAAAAGGGGTAATGTTTTGATTATGATAGTGACTTAAGAAGGGTCTTTAGTGTAAACAGGCTACACAGGCAGGTACATTAAAACAGACAGGACACTTAGATAGAAATACAATGTATAGAACAAAAAGCCTGTCAATCATGCAACATAATTCATCCAAGTTCTATGCATTACAGATCTATCTAACAAGTCCAAAACAGTGACAAGTAATACAGTCTACTGACGAAATAGCAGCTTTCTGACTGTCAAGGAAGAAGAGGTTTTTCATGGCACAATACTGTATGAGTCCAAAACAGTGAAATGCTACAGACCCTTTGATTGTGTTGTTTTTTAAATGTAGTTGGTTTGAACATGGTGAGGGTAGTAGGGGGTGTACTGTATAGTGGCCTCACGTCCTTCTTGGCTCCAGCCTGTAGGAGAGTTGCGTGAGCGCCCTCTGGTTGTCAATCACGCACAGTTTCCTGACATAGCCCCGCACCTCGGCCTGGTTCTTGTTGGGCTGACAGATGTCCGGGTTGAAAGGTTGGCTTCTGCAGTGCCGTACCTGTCGAATTGTGTTGGCGATAATACGCTGAATGAAAGATGGGGAAAGTATTAGTTACACTTTAGGGGACCCCTCCAAAAACCTCCATTACTTTTTACAGCCAGACCAAGCAAATTAATCAATACATTAACTGAAATAAAATAGATAGATATAACTTTTTTATTTGCTTTTAATTTTGTGTTTTTGACACTCATTTAATTTTTTGTTAATATTGACCAATCAATTGCTTCAGACTCACCATTTTTTCAAAGTTGACCATATTGTCAATATATGTTCTGTTGCCTTCATGTGTAAAAGTCATATCTGCAACAGGATAAAGAGCATTTGATGTAAAAGATCAAAAACATGAGGTGATCCAAATGACTATGATAAAATGCAGTCGCACCTTTGAGAAGAAGAGGCATGAAGGGAATGATTGGGGGCTCTAGTTTTGTAACAGTGAGTCGATACGACCGGTGATTTCTAGAGGGGTCCTGCAAATCATGTTGATGGTTGATGTTAAACCAACACCAATGTGAATTTGATTGAAATACTACTACCTAAATAACTCACCATCATGCTCTCAAACTCGGCATAGAACTTCTTAAACTTGGTAGGAAGTTTCTGTCAGTGAGAAAGACGTGTAAAGTGTTTCCGAAAAAACACATTTTGTTTTAATTGCAAATGTTATTTTTACAGTTTTAATGTAAATATGAAGTTTCATAAATGTTCTTAAAAATAGATGTACCTCCCATGTTTGACTTAGCCTGCTGACAGCTGGGTTGCTCATCCCCATAATAATGGCAAAGAAAGAATTGAGGTTCTTAAATTCCCGACAGCTGTGGACAACAAAGACAGTGTTGAATTTTACACAAATAAATAACTCGCCATCACAGCTATCAAATGTCCCCACTGGGTATAAAGTAGTGGTGATTCGGGACAACTCACTGTGCTGCAATCTTGATGAACTTTTTGAGCAGCTGCACCCTCTTACTCAGCTGTCCACAGAGGCACACCTCAGTGACCACCCAGAGCTGGACCTGGTTGAACCGTCTCAGGAACAGGTCCAAGTTGGCTGTGGTCCTCCTGAAGCTCTGCCGGCCAAATGTGTGGTAGAGGAGCTCATGCTAAAGAGAGATGTGACAGGTAACTAATGGCAACAGTACTCATGTACTGTTGTTATGTGCGGTTAGAGCCAGTGTGCTACCTCATGCACACAGCTGAACAGCTCCCAGTCGAACATGGTCATCTGATAGGCCAGGTCCTTGGAGCTCATCAGCTCAAAGGTGGACATGGAGCCTGCAGTGGGGCCCTCCTGGTCTGGAAGAGGAGCCTGTGCACAAAGAGACGTTAAGAGCTGAGGTTCAGTTACAATAAAACAAAAATGTATATTCTCTATAGTACAATAGTGAAAAAGGTTTGTTGTAGGTGTAACTAGCAGGTTAAAGTAATGTTGATTAACAACATTGCATTGCATTTTATTTATTAACAATATTGCATTGCATTATATAGAACAAAACTGCATATACGGTACTGGTATATAGACATATTTATTTACTAAAGAGTTGAGTTGCTCTCGGGGACTGGCAAATAATCGTCCGTTGATGCTCAGAGTGGAAAATACTGACACGTCATTTTGCTTCAAGATTTGCTTTTCTGTAACACACAAATACACATTAAACATATATTTGTCATAATTCATGTAAATACAAAGGGGTATATTATGGATCGTTTCATTTTTCTTACCCCCTGCAGAGTTAAGGTGAACCAGGAGGAGCTCGTCTGTTGTGCCAATTTTGTCTGCCACAGCACTGACCACTTCCCTCCCAGTGGCTGCTACAGCAATTCGTATAGTAGTGTATGTCTGATCACTGCAATACACCTTTAATAGGACTTGAAGAAAACAAGACAATTTTTTAGTACTAATGATGCAGGAAAGGTATTATTTGTTGAGTTTGTTCAGTAATTTAAACTTACTGTCATCTTGATTCCTTATGGGTTGTTTCTTTTGTAATCGTTCTTCCCCATTACTGAACTGTCGTATTAAGGTTTTCTGTAAGAACAGTTAATTAGAAATCAACGTTAATGTTGTCACGGTAATGAAATGTCAATTTTGTCAGTTACACAATGACAAAACTCTTTTTTAGGTTTTTGATACTTAAAATGTGTTTAGTACAACCTTAATTCATTGTGCAAATCAAAGAACTGGATAAATTGAT